AACTGAAGATCCATATGACAGGTGACCTTTACTCCTTGAGAGAGTACCAATGCTGTGCCATGTGACAGGGCAAAGATGAAAGGCAGTGCCAGATTCCTTGACTGTGGGCCTGTGCTGCTTCATGGGTAGGGAAAGGGATCACTGATGCAGTTAGTTACATCCTTGCTAGATCCCAGATCCTCACTTTTTCCTTTCTAAAGAAGTCTAAGGTAATAGACTTGCTTTCTTTCTTCAACAGATAGTAGCTAAAAACAAGTGGCTGCCGGTCATGGTGGTTCATGCCTGTAATCCCAGCACTTTGGGAGGCTGAGGCGGGTGGATCACCTGAGGTCGGGGGTTCAAGACCAGACTGACCTACATGGAGAAACCCTGTATCTACTAAAAATACAAAAAAAAAAAAAAAAAAAATAGCCGGGCATGGTGGTGCATGCCTGTAATTCCAGCTACTCAGTAGGCTGAGGCAGGAGAATCATTTGAACCCAGGAGGTGGAGGTTGTGGTGAGCCGAGATCTCACCATTGCACTCCAGCCTGGGCAACAAGAGCAAAACTCCATCTCAAAAAAAAACAAAAACAAAAACAAGTGGCAATTTGGTAGGCAGCCAGCTGGTTATCTATGACTCAAACTATTAAGGATGGAGACATTTGTACCTGGGCCATGTTCTTCCCAGAGGAGAGTCCTTACTAAGTCAGAGGGTGTTATTATGACATCTGACCTTGAGGATGCTTCAACATGTTAATCAGGCTAGATAAGCAAATTCTTCAGTAAAAATGGCTGGGCATGGATAGTATGTGGTTTCTTCTCCTTCCTCCTTTTCCTCTACTTCCTCCCCTCCTCCTCCTTCTTCTTCTTCTTGTTTTTTTTTTTTCCTTGAGACAGGGTCTCACTCTATTGTCCAGACTGGAGAGAGAGCAGTGGCACAATCACTGCTCACTGCAGCCTCAACCCCCCAGGCTCAAGTGACCCTCCTGCCTCAGCCTCCTAAGTAGCTGGGACCACAGGCATGCGCCACCACTCCCTTGCTAATTAAAAAAATTTTTTTTTGTAGAAACGGGGTCTCCCTCTGTTGCCTGGGCTGGTCTAGAAATCCTGGCCTCAAGCAATCCTCCTGCCTCAGCCTCCCAAAGTGTTGGGATTACAGATGTGAGCTACCGCGCCGTCCCCTTCTTTTTTCAATTAGAGATGAGGTCTCACTATGTTGCCCAAGTTGATTTTGAACTCCTGGGCTCAAGCAATCCTCCTGCCTCAGTCTCCAAAGTAGCTGAGATTACAGGTGTGTACCACTGCACCCAGCAACACATAGTTTTTGAAGATGTACAAGAACAAATTTGATTCTTGGAATGGATTTATAAGAAAGCTTGGCATTTCCTTTCTGTCAAAGGAACCAAGTTTATTAATTGCAGTGCCTTTGGAACAGGTACATATTTTAATATTATTACAGAAAGAATGTCTGGCCTGAAAAGAATTTGATATGAACTAGAGAACAAATGTCTTTCTACATTGCAGGAGAAAGTAAAGCATAATGTCCTATTTCTATCCAAAGATACTTAAGAGGGAAGGGAGAAGGAAAGGAAAGAATAAATTAGGAATTATATGGAATGACTTGGGATACCTGTTTTACAGTTAAATCATTTGTGATCTGATTTCCATGTTGGCGGGGCTTGGCCTGTTTCTGCCGGGCTCTTCCTGCCTTCCCTCATTTTCCCCAGCTTTCTTCATTCAGCACACATTCTTTTTTCTCCCATCCTCTGTGGGTAAAATCTAGGGGGCTTGTGACCCTCTGAGATGTTTCTTGCCCTACTCTGTGCATAGCACTGAGAAGCAAAGTACACACAGTCAATTCTTGCACCTGTCAGGAGCAGCTTGCCTCCATTTGCAAAACACGGGGTGATCCTATGTCTAAGGAACTGATTGTCTTTTCCATTTCTTATCTTGTGCACAAGCCAATGGTAAGTTCTGTTACTTATCTTGGCTTATACACAAGTAAACTGTAGGTATTGTTTTTCATTTAGGAGGTTTTTGCCATCCTTGGGTTGGTTTATAATATTGTTAGTCATACCAGATTGTGTCTTAATGTCCAGACACTGAATTAGGGACCCACCAACTTGATTTTCCTCTGAAACAAAATCTACAAAAGGTGTGTCAATCATTTTGTTAGGCTTGAGCAGGGGTGGGCAAATTGTGGCATGTGAGGCCCATGAGTACAGCCAGCGTGCTAACAATGGTTTTTACATGTTTAAATAATTTGGAAAAAAACAACAGAAAAATAATATTCTGTGACATAAGAATTTCAAATTTCAGTGTTTATAAATATAATTTCATTGGAACAGTTATAAGCATTCCTTTACCAACTGTTATTTATTTGTTTGTTTGTTTATTTATTTTGAGACAGGGTCTGGCTTTGTTGCTCAGGATGGCGTTGCAGTGGCACAATCACAGCTCCCTGCAACTTCTCCTCCCAGGTTCAAGCGATCCTCCCACCTCAGCCTCCCAAGGATTTGGGACTGCAGGTGTGCACCACCATGCCCGGCTAGTTTCTTTGTATTTTTTGTAGAGACAGGGTTTTCCCATGATGCCCAGGCTGGTCTCGAACTTCTGAGCTCAAGCAGTCTGCCTGCCTCAGCCTCTCAAAGTGCCGGGATTACAGATATGAGCCACCACACCCAGCCCCTTTACCTACTGTTAATGGCTGCTCTCACACTACATTAAAATTGAGCAGTTGCAATAAAACAGATAGTGTATTGACTCACAAGTCCATAAAGTGTCTGCTATACTGGCCCTTTACAGAAAAGGTTTGCTGACTCCTTTGCTTGTATAATGAAACAGCAACAATAGTTGACATCTTTTGAGCCTTCCTATGTGCCAGACAATGTGCTACGCATCTTTTGGGCATTATTTTGTTTAATCCTCATAACAACCCTGTAAAGTGCATCTCTTTTTACTGCCATTTTACAGATGAAGAAAAGGAGAGTCAGAGAGGTGGTGTAATTTGGCCAAAATCACACAGCTGGGCAGTATCAGAGCTGAGATTTGTACCCACGTGTGTCCAGTTCCAGAGCCCGGATTCTTGTCCACTATAGAACATCAGCACCTATGCATTTCCTTGGTGGGTCTGAAGTAGAGGCCACAGATAAAAATTGTTAATTGTCTGAGGCTTAATTAACTTTTATTTCAAGTAATTTAGTTTAATTTATTATTTGAGATTTAATATCTGTTTCTCTTAGGAGAATGCGTACGTTCCTTAGGATGGTGACTATCTGTGGCTCCTAACACAGTGCCCAGCATATAGTAGAAGCTAAGTTAAAAGCCTGTTGAATAAAGTGGATGTGGAGTAGGAAAGAGGGCAGGAGAAAGGGAGAGGAAAAATGGAGGATGAGAGACATTATCAAGGAAGAGTCAGGGTGCCCAGCATTGGCCCTGAGGTCATGGATGGCTCTGCCTTGGCACTGGGCTCACCCTGACCCAGGGCTCACAGGTCCAGTCACAACATCCTTCGGTCAGGCCTCACCTGACCGTGCACACATTTCTTCCGCTGCGGCTTGGCTTCTATTATTCTGCTCTTGCTCCTCCCCTCTGCCTCTGATGGCCTTGTGGCTTCCTGGCACTGGTCCAGATGCAATGCCAACCCTTGAAAGGTGAGTCAATATTTGTTTAGAGTGCATTCATTAGGAGGAGGACGTGGAAGTGACACCTCCCATTCTCATGTCCGGAGACGATGACCACGTCAAAGGGCAAAACTGACACTTGAAGGGGACCAAAAGGAATCATTTCTCTTCTTAAGAAGTCTGCTGGCTTTAAGTAAGAGAGGCTGGCCAATGAGGACTAATTTCTACAGGCTGCTGACCAGCACAAAAGTCCAGGTTTCTTTCTCATGAGAACCAGTGGCAGGTAGGCATGAACAGACTCTCTTCCTTCCTGGGACTGGCCTGGGATTAGAGTTAGTGTGAGACCTCAGCAAGAGTAACAAAGCAGTACTGCAGCCTCTCAGCTGTGTCAAAACCAGCAGGGAGACACCAGTGCTAAGTGGGTGAGGAGGTGGAGGGAGGCTGTGTCCAGCCTGGTGTGATAAAAGTGTATAGGTGCCGGGTGCAGTGGCCCACACCTATAATCCCAGCGCTTTGGCAGGCCAAGACAGGCAGATCATTTGAAGTCAGGAGTTCGAGTCCAGCCTGGCCAACCTGGTGAAACCTCGTTTCTACTAAAAATACAAAGACAATTAGCTGGGCATGGTGGCACATGCTTGTAATCCCAGCTACTCGGGAGGCTGAAGCAGAAGAACTGCTTGGACCCAGGAGGCTGAAGTTGCAGTGAACTGAGATCGCACTACTGCAGTCCAGCCTGGGAAACAGAGTGAGACTCTTTCTCTCAAAAAAAAAAAAAAAAAAAAAAAAAAAAAAAGTGTATTGGCATATCTCTTCTGATTTTGCATGATTCTGTCTACTCTCATGTATTGATGTAGTTTATTTGGCCTATGAAAAGATGATGAGGTGTACTGTATTAGTGAGCTATTCATGTCTAAAAACACCCCACAAATGCTTACTGAATCCTTAAATGAGCCCAACTCCAGGAGTAAAAAAGTGAATTATCAGTCATTTTTTAAAGGAACTCATAAATCTACTAGTGGCCATAATAATGACAGTAATAATTTATGTTCTGACTGATTATGATGCATCAGACACTGTATCAGCGTTTTTTGTTTTTTTTTTTTTAAAGAAATCTCGTTCTGTCACCCAGGCTGAAATGCAGTGATGCGATCTCTGTTCACTGGTGCATCTGCCTCCTGGGTTCAAGCAATTCTCATGCTTCAGCCTCCCGAGAAGCTGGGATTACAGGCGCCCACCACCACACCTAGCTAATTTTTGCATTTTCAGTAGAGACAGGGTTTCACCATGTTGGCCAGGCTGGTCTTGAACTCCTGGCCTCAGGTGATCCACCTGCCTCAGCATCCCAAAGTGCTGATATTGCAAGCGTGAGCCACCATGCCTGGCCTAGATCAGGTTGTTTGCATAGACTAAACAAACATTTCCTTCTCCTAACAAATCGATGTAGTCGGTACCCTTGTCATCCCCCATATACTTGAGGTAATTGAGGTACAGAGGTTAAATTACTTACCCAGGGTTATACAACTTGTAAGTGGCAGAACCAGGATCCAAATGCATCCTTGGCTCTAGAGCCCATCCTCTTCTCCCCCACCGTACCATATCATGCTTCTGATGATAGCAACCTGAGACTTACTGTGTGTTAGGCATGGGGCTGACACTGACACACTGGGTCATTTAATCATCACAATGGTATTAGGAGGCAGCATTTTACAAACGAGATAACAGAGAGGCAAGGAGCAACCTGCAGATAGAGCAAATCCAGATGTGCCTCCAGAGCCCGTCCTTTAATCGCAGTTGGATGCTGACTTTGATCTCAGGATTCTAATAGTGGATGAAAGTGACCCTGAATTGTCGTGCCAGGCAGGCTGCTTAGGAAAATACTCTTCTGTATTAAATAACTTGTTGGAGGGGCAGCCTTCTGAGGATGGTGGCAGATTCCCCTGTCCTCAGATTAGCTTCCTCTGCCAAAGTGCTCAGACTCCTACTTCAGTGTCACCTCCAGGTTTTAAAATGTGGACACCCAGGCATGATACCAGGACAAAGCCCCACTCCACTATGGGCGCATCGGCTCAGATGCTGGAACCCCCCAGGGTTGGCAGGCAGAGAGCTGTCGACCCCGGACGTGGGAAAGGGCCACAGTCGGGAGCACCCAGTTCCTGGAGGGCCAGGCCAGAGCGATCTGCGGGGCTCACAGTTTTGATGCTGTCGCCGTGGACCTGACTCCCTCCACCTCCCCGCGTCGCCACCACTTGAATCAGTTCTTTTACAGAGTGGTTCTGTTTCCCGGTGAGACAAAAAAGTTAGAAAAGGAAACCTAGAGGGGGTGGAGGAGAAGAGAGAGGTTCAGAATCCCGGCGCGTAATCGCCATCTCGGTGGAGGGGACCCGCCTGCTTTTCTTCTGCCCGAGAGCAGCTCCGCTCCCGCCTCAGGGCGGGGCCTGTTGCCATGGAGCCCGGGCGCCCGGCGGAGCGTGCGCAGTGAAAGCGCCCTGGGCTCCGCCCGGCCTGGGAGGCCGGGACTCTGAGGTTTTACCAGGCCTGTGGTTATCATCGTAGGATGGAATCCTAGAGGTCGGGTGATTTGGTCGGCAGAGAGGAACATTTGTGAAGTTCTTTCTAAACTACATGTTGGTCTAAAAGTAATCCACTGTCTGGGACCCAGAGGGAGGAATGTGTGGAAGAGGCAGGCATTATTAGCAGCGGGCCCCGCCTCGGCCACCTCCCTGCTCCCGCCGCGGCCCTGGGGGCTCTGCTCCGCCTCCGGCTCAGTCGCCCACGGAGACTCCACGACTCATTAATCCCAGCCCTGTAGTCAAAACCACTGCATTAATTAAACAAGGTAAATTGGTGAGGCAAGCAGGAACTTGGCACCGCCTTTAATTTAATTGTTAAAATGAAAAGTGTGATTATGGAGCTCTGTTTAAGAGAAAAACAACAGTTAATACCGATGTCCACATCAGTGTAGACCAGATGCAATCAGGAACCCATAGTTCGCACTGGGAGATTACATTCTGGGTATACTCAGAATAGACAGAGTCCAACTTTGAATTCTCCAGGCCAAACAATGGCGAAACAAAAGAGCCTTGTGTTTGCTTGCTTTTGCTTTTTGTTGTAGTTAGAGCAGGACAAAGAATAATGAAGGGGTAGGCACGTTATTACTTGGGTATTTAATAATCAGTGCATGGCAGAGCTTGTGTTTTGCTTCAGTCTTTTTTTGAGACAGGACCTCACTCTGTCACTCAGTCTGGAGTGCAGTGGCCTGATTTCAGCTCACTACAACCTCGGCCTCCTGGGTTTAAGTGATTCCCCTGCCTCAGCCTCCTGAGTAGCTGGGACTACAGGCATGCGCCACCATGTCTGGCTAATATTTGTATTTTTAGTAGAGATGGGATTTTGCCGTGTTGTCCGGGATGGTCTCAAGCGCCTGACCTCAAGTGTTCTGCCTGCCTCAGCCTCCAAAAGTGCTGGGATTATAGGTGTGAGCCACCACACCAGGCCTGCTTCAGTCTTTTTACAAAACTACAGAACTCCCTATAAAGAATAATGCTAGAGAAGGATTATCAATCGGATGGTTTGTAAATACCTAGAAAAGAAAAAAGCATCCTGAGTTTCATAAGAATAAATGATGCCAGAACAACCAAAATTCCTCATTGGATAGCTGTGAATCTATGTTCAATATGAGTCAATATGAGAAAAGTGCCAAGAAAGGTACAAGCACCTCGGAGGCAGTTAACAGAAGGACAGAGCCTGGAGCAAGGAAAGTGTTGGTCTTGCTCTGCTCTGTACTGAGCAGATCTCATCTGGATATGTCTTCAGTTTGGGGCGGCTCCCTGTGGGAAACACACTGGGCAGGGAGTCAGGGGTGCTTGATGTGGGTCTCGTTGCAGACACAGCCTGGCTGCAAAGGGCTATCCTTATCCTTGAGACCCAGTCAACATGACTGTGAGTTAGAGGCAGATAACTCAGTCTCCAGGAGTGATTTTGAGAGGTTCTATTCATGTCATTTATTTTTGTGTCACCAGTGCCTTGTATACCACCTGGCACACAATCATTTGTGCAATATTGTGTTATCATTAAAGAGTCATCCCAAGGCCAGGCCAGTTCTGGTGTGAATTCTTGGGTTGGAACTGGATCAGCTGGTTCCCAATTCATCTATCTGCATAACCCCGATAGGTTAAGGCCAACTTGCACCTTATCTCTTTTAAGGATGCTTAAGAGAAAGTTCTTTCTGCTTCATTCACCATTACTTCCTGACAGTCCTGTTTGTCCTAAAACCTCCCCCACAGCCTCTAATGAATGATCCCAACCCGTAAATATAGGGGGCCTCACCAAGGCTACTGTTAGTAGGGAGGGAGGGGCTCAGCCTCTTGGGGTCCAAACCAACCCACTCAATCAAACTGACTACAGAGCGCCTGGACTGTCCGGAATCTCCGCTTTGAGGACCACACCTGGAGTGCTGACCTGTGAAATCCACCATAACAGTACTTCCTCTTCAGTTGCTCATACCTGAACTGAAGGCTGGAAATAATTATTTCTTACCATCTTCTTTCATAAAACCATTGGGCAATAATTTTCATAAAGTTTTTATATTTGTTTGTTCGTTTTCCTTATGTCTTTAAAATTTTTTCTACTTGACATGTTAATGAGGTACAATGTGATCTTTCAATATGGCTGCACATTATGTAATAATTAAATCAGGATACTTAGCAGATGCATCACCTCATAGCTTTATTATTTCTTTGTAATGAGAACATTCAAAATTCTCTCTTCTAGCCATTTTGAAATACACAGACTGGGTGCAGTGGCTCACGCCTATAATCTCAACACTTTGGGAAGCTGAGATGGGCATATCATTTGAGCCCAGGAATTCTAGTCCAGCCTGGGCAGCATGGGAAAACCCTGTCTCTAAAAAAAATACAAAAACTTAGCTGGGCATGGTGGTGAATGCCTGTAGTCCTAGCTACTGAGGAGACTAAGTTGGGAGGATCGCTTGAGCCCAAGGAGGTCGAGGCTGCAGTGAGCATCAGTCATGCTACTGCACTCCAGCCTGGGTGACAGAGTGACACCCTGTCTCAAAAAATGCAAATGAAAAAATGAAATCCACAATACATTATTGTTAACTGTGGTCACTCTACTGTACAGTAGAACACCAGAACTTACTCCTGTTATCTAACTGTAACTTTGTTGACTAATCTCTCCCTATCTGCCTCCTCCAACCCCAATAAAGCTTGTTGAAATCAGACACACGGAAAATGAAATGATGATTGCATTAGGCAGAGTTGGTAAGCTCCTGATTTCAGGTTGCCTCTTCTAGTTGGTTATATTTATCTCACACTGAAACACATCGCCTCTCTACTCAGCGGGTTTTGTTCTACTCTGAAGTTGCCTGATTACCGTTCCTGTTCTTGCACATCTGGGGCAGGTGACACACTGAAAGAGGAACGGTGCCAGCCAAAAGACCTGGACTCTAGTTCACCTCTATTACATGTGGCTGCTGCGTCCTGGGCTGCTCACTTTACCTTTCTAAATCTCTATTTCCGCTAAAATAATAATGCCTGCTCTACCTGTTTCTGGGTTAGCTTTGAGGATCAAAAAGAAAATCTATGAAGGTATTGTCTTTTTTTTTTTTTTTTTTTCGAGATGGAGTCTCACTCTGTCACCCAGGCTGGAGTGCAGTGGCACAATCTCAGCTCACTGCAACCTCTGCTGCCTGAGTTCAAGTGATTCTCCTGCCTCAGCCTCCTGAGTAGCTGGGATTACAGGCACCTGCCACTGTGCCCAGCTAATTTTTGTAGTTTTAGTAGAGATGGGGTTTCACCATCTTGTTCAGGCTGGTCTTGAACTCCTGGCCTCGTGATCCACCCGCCTTAGCCTCCCAAAGTGCTGGGATTTCAGGTGTGAGCTACTTCGTCCAGCCTATGAAGGTACTTTCTTTTTTTTCGAGACGGAGTTTTGCTCTTGTTGCCCAGGCTAGAGTGCAATGGCACGATCTCGGCTCACTGCAAACTTGGCCTTCTGGGTTCAAGTGATTCTCCTGCCTCAGCCTCCTACGTAGCTGCGATTACAGGCGCCCACCACCACGCCCAGCTAATTTTTGTATTTTTGGTAGAGACGGGCTTTCCTCATGTTGGCCAGGCTAGTCTTGAACTCCTGACCTCAGGTGATCCATTTGCCTTGGCCTCCCAAAGTGCTGGGATTACAGGCATGATCCACCACGCCCGGCTGAAGGTACTTTCTAAATCATAATCTACCAGATATGAAGAATTGCCTGTCCATAATGGTTTTTGATCCGGTTAATTTTTTAAATTCTGAGATGAATTTTCACCTTTGTGCCATGTTATGTCATTTGTTCATTCGTAGGACTCTTATCGTTCCATATCTACTTATTGGGCACCTAGTATGTGACAGGCACTGCACTAAGGGTTGAGAGTTAAAGATAAAAGATGGAACCTTCGGCTGGGCATGGTGGCTCACGCCTGTAATCCCAGCACTCTGGGAGGCCAAGGCAGGTGGTGGATCACCTGAGGTCAGGAGATTTCGACCAGCCTGGCCAACATGGTGAAACCTCGTCTCTACTAAAAATAAAAAAAAATTAGCCAGGTGTGGTGGTGGGCGTCTGTAATCCCAGCTACTCAGGAGGCTGAGGCAGGAGAATCATTTGAACCCAGAAGGCAGAGGTTGCAGTGAGCTGAGATGGTGCCATTGTACTCCAGCCTGGGCAACAAAAGTGAAACTCTGTCACAAAAAAAAAAAAAAAAAAAAAAAGGATGGAATCTTCAGCAGTTTTCAGCAAGAATGCTGTGGAGTACACAGGAGTGGTACTGAATCCAGACTGTGGGTGGGAGTGTCTGGGGGGTCAGAGAATCCTTCCTAAAATGAGTGAGTGGTGGCTTTCCTGAGGTTTTGTTTGTTTGTTTGTTTTGTTTGGTTTGGTTGGTTTTTTTGAGATGAAGTCTCGCACTGAGGCCCAGGGTGGATTGCAGTGGCCTAATCTCCGATCACGGCAACCTTCGCCTCCCGGGTTCAAGCGATTTTCCTGCCTCAACCTCTGGGGCAGCTGGGATTATAGGTGCCTGCCACCACGCCGGCTAATTTTTTGTATTTTCATTAGAGATGGGTTTCACTATGTTGGCCAAGCTGGTCTTGAACTCCTGACCTTGTGATCTGCCCATCTCAAAGTGCTGGGACTACGAGTGTGAGACACCGTGCCTAGCCAGCTTTGCCGAGTTCTAAAGAGTCAAAGAAATTAACCAGGGGCAGGAGGTAGGAGAGGATGAAAGTGTTCCTGGCAGAACAAGTGGTGGGTGAGCCTAGAGATTAGTGTTTCTCAAAGGGGATGCCACTGACATTAGTGCTGTGGGGTCGGAAGTATTTTTAAGGCACTCTCCCATGCTTTGGAGCAGGTTTGGCATCCCTACACCCAGGCACTA